ATATCTGATCATGGTCTGCAAAATACTGATAGCTTCTCTAGGAGTCTTATCAGCATCGAAACGCTCACTACAGCCAGTGACGGGCACGAAGCCGGAGATATTGTGTATCATATTCCCGAAGGAACGGCCGGACGCATCCAGGACTTCTTGGGGATGACCGGCCTCCAAGAGACCCAGCAGATCTGTCAGGGTCAGGACCTGAAACGTGCTGATACTACTGAGGAGTGCATCGAACGTATTTTACGCCATGCTATGGACCTTGCGGATACCGGCCCAGACAACCTAATGGCCTTGGCTCCGGCGAATATTCCGATTGAACCAGCTGTTGGTCAAGCCATTGGGTTTCCGATTCCTGACATCTCCATCGGCGAGGCCGTAGTTATTGTTCGGCTGTATCGCCAGGTCTTCACTGCAACCACGCCGGCCCCTCAGCCTGACCTGAAATGGGACCCCTCCGTCCTCGCTAGAAGTGCGCTAAGTCTCGCCATCGCTGCACATGCGGCGATGCTCGTTGGTCAGAGTCTCCTCGACATATTCGTCAGCAAGAGTGATATCATCACTGATCTAAAGGAGGAGGACCTAACATGTGCTAAAGATCTCATATGCACACTCGATGACTGTAAGGGCCAAGACGAGGTCACTGAACGTCTGAATTGGATGGTCAGTTCAAGTACCCCTTCGACGCCCATATGTCGCACGGTATGTAACATAACCCACGTGGTCGCTTCGCTGACAGTAGTGCACGCAGCCCAAGAATTTCGGATGCAGATGCGAAGTTGTCGAATATCCCTACGTGTACGAGGTGCCGAAAGGATACATGGATGCGCAATACGCATGGCTCGAAGAGCTCATCAAGCGAGCCGAAGAGCCTGTGCTTGAAGCTGAATGCAAGAGCAATCTGCAAAGGTTTGATGAAGGGACGCTAGGTCCCCCGAATCCGGGTTCTTCACAGACCTTTGACCCCAGATCCAGCTTTGAAGAGTAAGCCGACTCACAAAGTCCAGCCCAGTACAAATTGCTAATTGTTACCCAGCTGGATTGACACTGCATGTGACAAGTTTGATAACCGGCTCGACAAAGAATGGCACTGGTCATACGACGATATAACTGGATTTGTCTTCAGCCTCCGATGGAGCCAGATACCGGACGGGGTTTCTGACTGCCCATTCGACTGCAAGGCCGCATTCGCGCCCTTCCTAGACTCTGCTGATTGTAAGTCTGGAAAGCCGGACTGAGCGTCGACTTGCGCTGACATGATGGGCAGGCGTGAAAGACGAAGGCTTCTCGAGTTCTGGTAAAATCGTGACCGAGTGCGGAAGGGCTTCGTTGTATACACGCACTACAGCATGCACCCCTGAGCATCCGGAGTGCTGCGACACCTTCGGATCTGACTGCGGAGTGATCGACGAGTGAAGCCTGCGAGCTTGCAGGGTGAGTCCCTGGTAGGGTATTCTTTGGGAATGTAAAAGCCGGCATCAGGGTCTTTGTATGTAATTCGGAATGGGTCTTCATGCCAGTGCGCTTTCTGGAACGAAATGGAGCTGGTCTTTGCAAACCTCTTTGTTGGCCAGTGACGTCATCCTACGCGCTAGAACACGGTCATGACGCCACAGGCGTTTACGCGTTCACGCGAGATATCCATCCCCAGCTTTGACACAATCATTGCACCAATTTTTTCTCTCATCGCACCCTTTCGTCAGCGTGCGACAACAACGCGTCGAAAGTTATCGGACGCCGCGGACTTTAGTCCATCGGCAGCAAGATCGGCCTTCGAGATGGACGATGACGGTCTTGTGCACTGCATACATCAATGTACCAATTCCATTACAACGGGCTGAGATCGATTGGTGGCATGGTTGCTTGCACCCCTCAACGTTCCATGGGTAGAGTTGTGGATCGCGAGCGCCGCGCAATCTTGCCCTCGCTCTTCGGCAAAGGTCCAGATTTCTCCTGGCTGCACTCAGAGTAAGTTATCGTAAGTGTGGCTACTATGCTGGGAATACTTCCATTTAGAATACTGCAAACATAACCCTTCGAACGCATATTGCAAAGCTATGGCGGCTCGAGGTCCACCAGAATCGCCGCAGCCCCATGCGCGGCATCATCTCACATCGCTACCCTATCGGCTACTGGAGAAGTTACGCAGGTGCACGCCACGAACGATACCTAAGGCATCAGTATACACACTAAGCTGGCTTCGCAGCCAAAGGACACGACCGCGCAACAGCCATGTATCCGCACGGGATCGCCACGATGAAGACATCTCTCGAAAGAATCAATTGAAAGACTGTTCCAACCTGATCTTGATGCTACCGAGAGAACTACGCGATCAGATCTATGAGTACGCTTGGCAAGGAACGCATATCTACTATCAGGACGACTTTTGCCTCGCTGGCGCTGTCAACGCGCGGTATCTAGACTGCGATGAACTTTGTGAACAGATCCAGACCCTTCCAGCATGGGTGATCATTCATCCTCAGATTCAAGAAGAGGCGCTTCACTTCTTCTATCAAGCGGCAGAGTTCAGTGTTGGTGACGGCAATGAATACACGACCCCGTTTCACGGATCGACATCGCACATGTCCAGCATCTTGTCGATCGAGAAGGCGCGCAATATTACTGTGTTCGGCATTACCGGGTTTTATGAACCGCATAGAGATACAGCGTCTACCGACTCTTTCGCAGGCTCCTTGGATAACGTAGGAGACTCTCCGGGCTCATTTATAGACTTTGTGGGTCTATTCGAAGACTCTGTGAACATCACGCTGAACGATACTCAACGAAAACTCATTCGCCATGTCACAGATAATGACGCGGTTCACCTTCTACGTCTTTCAACACGACTTCAGCTACGCTCTGGTGCAATGACTCTCATCGAGGAAGAAGCTCACCTCCAGGCGTTACAAGACTTGCAGGAAGCGTCGTATGGTATCAGCCATGTACAGATGCATTTCCAATTGGCATGGCAACCTTCCCAATCCAGCTTACTTGGAGAATTCCGAGTCGCGAACTATCATTTCGTAGTCAGCTGCTGGATCTTGGCAAAATCCATACTTGTCCCGCCTTTAACATATTTTACGCCTGCCTGCTCCGAAGACAAGGAGTCTGAACCGAACGCTGTGGGGCGGGAATCAGCGTTTAGAGATACTATGGATTTGCCGCATTGGAAAGACAACAATGCCAACCTTGAGCAGCAATCGCAGGGGATCATGACGACGGCTATGGCATATCGCCGTAGCGGTGTCGGGCTAGAAGATGGTGCTCTATCGGCGCTCGCTCCTGTCTCCTCCAATTAGGTATCGCTGCTAGAAAACGAGAGCCTTAAGGACCCGGAAAAGCAGCACCGGTTGGGTCACAGCACTATGACAATATCTTTACCGACCTCGATACATCGCGAGTGGAGGCTGATTTCTCTACTGGCTCGCCGTCGGCCTTTCCCTGTACTTAGACTCTGGTTGTCTATATTTGACAGCACAATTACGCCCTGCGCTAGACACATCACAAGCTTCAGGCGCCCCTTTCCCCCCACCAAGCCACTGTAACGAACTTATTCCTGTCACTTTCGACTCGAACGTCGCACTCACACTACATTTGAATTGCCCCTTTGGCTTTACACGAACGCGCTATATCAGAGAAGTCGAGAGAATCCTACCTACTCTATTCAGAAATCTCTTTGTACACATATCGGCTCGCCTGCCAGCTTCTGATATCGCTATCAACCATGCTCGAGCATTTCGTACTCAGGCACATTCCGCCTCTCCTTCTCGCCAGCATCTGGACAGTCGGCGGGCTGATGTCTTTTACTCATGGGCCCAAACAAGTTATCCTGACATACGGTCTCTCCAAGAGCATCGCATCTTCGAAGGCAGCGTGGCCTCTGATCAAGATCGAAGGTTCGCGCGTTACTACTGTCGGCATGGCGATCTGTGGAATCTATCTCGGGGGCCATTTGGAAGCCATGGACACACTACTTGCTTGCATTGGATGGATGGCAATCATTGACGGTGTGGTATGTGCGAAGGAAGGGGCTCCAGGGTCTGCTAGAATGCGTGCGACGTATCAGGGTGTGGTTGCGCTTTGGGGTTTGCTGAGTATGACTTCGGCAAAGTACTTCTAGGTTGAGCTTCGGAACTAGATGATGCGTGTGCGATATATGGGGTTGTCCATCAAAAGATGCGCTGCTGGCTCATCTCTAATATACGACGGGTCTTCTTGAGCATCCTGATAGATCTCTTCAACCAAACCTTGCCGTCTAACCTTTTCCCAAAGTACAAACAAAGTACCTCGTCCCTAAGTTCGCGATCTGACGCCGATACCCAGCCGTAATGAGTATCAATCTCCTGATACTGCGTCTCCATATCCGCGACTATCTCCCGCACTCGCTCAACTGACCCGCGTTCTTCTGCTGTACCTGGTGTGGCTTCCGTGAAGCGGTGACAGATGGCGTCAACTTCCTCTAGCTTGCCACTAATGGTCTGCTTCAGCTCGCTGATCTTGTGGACTAGATCTTCGAATTCTGAAGAAATGTCTCTGCGCGCTTCGCAAGCTTGGTCTTCTCGCACGTTGGTCATTATTCAATTTGACTTTATGCAAAATCGTGTCGAGTTGTATGAAGAGCGGTGATCGCAAGGGAAAAGATCTCAGTTCTCATAGATTTGCAGGTACAGTATGCTTCAGAAAGGTTCAACATATATAGACATACCCGAAGTATGTGAAGCTAGGTGCATCAATCCGTGTGGCATATGATATATCCTGACGTCAGTAGACGTGTCTCATACTCTACGTTGCTTGTCACCCCCTTCATGTTTGGCCACTAACGTGCTAATCACAGCTATTCACATGGTCTTTCGACTAGAAGAAATAGTTCTATGATATCTCCTCTAGCGTAATATAGGTCATAGCATTAAGGACAGTGATGTGGAGCATACGCTCGTACTAATACCACGAGCACAATGAAACCAGCCTGACGTAGTAACGTCGTACTACATTCTCAATTCCTCCTACACTGTTCCTGGTTCATTGAAACCCACTATGTCCCAGTACCCTTTCATCGTCTTCATGGTCATATCTGCCTTCCACTTCGCCACTTTCAGTTTATCCTTTTTGGCATTCTCTGGATCTGTCGCTGGAGCTCGAAGGCTGAGTACAAGATCCTCGAAAGGATAGTCCAGAAGTTCTTTCGGGACCTTAGCAGCGGCCTCATCGATACCAAGTTTTGTTTCGTGATTCTGTTTCCTCAGCGCTAGGAGGTCGTGCCCATTATCGATCATGTAGCCTTCGACTATGCGTTCGAGAGTGAAAATCCCCAAGGTCACGCTTCCGGGGAAGTTGTTCAAGGATTCGGTCGCTTCCTCGAAGGTGATGTTGTTGACTGCAGTTTCTCAGCTCCAGGACTACCATCGTCTCACCACTGGACTTACGTGAGCCTGTTCTTTTCTGGCCCTGCGTTCCCGCCTGGTTGGGGATGCCCCTGATCTTATCATCTAACGCCCTCAACCTCGTCTTAACATCTTTCTTGTCGTCGTTTTTGAGCGCTCTCCCGATCGATTTGACAGCTTCGAGTGCGTTCAGCTCCGAGGGGTTCATTTCGTTGATGTTTAATTTAGTAGGTAATAAAGTGGTAATTGATGCAGTAAGGATGCCGTTCAAAGCTGCTTTCCACCTGATGGGGCGTTGATGCCAACTTTATATCTTTCACCATCTCTATGTACTGTTCAACAAGTGAGCAGTGCTTTACTGGTGACTCGCAGAGAATGACTGGACATGTTGGCTCTTACTGTTGGTAACACAACCAACACGCTTTCATGACACATTTGCTAGCTATACCAATTATTTGTGGGTACTAAAAAGTTGCAAGGCTATAGCCAAGACCACTATAGCGGGCGAAAGTGTGCACCGAGAGAGAGCCAGGTCCCTGCTGTGAACCGAGAGGTGCGTGTGCAATGGTCCTTCTTCCCGTCGAAAATATGAATCAGCAAAAAGTGGTACTAAAGAGTGTATTCGTCAGCATCTTGCAGCTCCTTGAAGAAGATCTCTAGATCCTCCAATAATCTCTTGGTCTTTGCTGCTTCAATCAAAACTCGTTGAAGCTTCTTCTGAGCAGCTTCGTCACCGCTTGGGGGTAGCTGCAAGCTTCCAATAAATGCTTCAACCGGTAGTTCCAGAACTTGTGACTTGATCTCGTCATTCGTGAACGTTGACATTGCTGCTTTTGCAGGTCCTATGCAAAGCTCTGCAATGTACTGGTGAATGGAATCCCGAGCCTTAGTACTGGTGACTTGGTTCCTGTTGCGATCTGCCTTGAGAATGCGACAGTAGTCAGTAAACTGCCCACATGCTGTGGTCAATGGCAGACCAATCGCCATGGTAAAGTCTTCGACTATCATGTCTGTTACTTGTTCAAGTTTGAGATTATTGACTGTTTGACTGTGTTGTCTCTTAGTACAAGTCCAAGGTAGTCTACTAGCTTGTGGACTCACTCCAGGATGCCTTAATGCATCCAAAACTGTCCGAACGTGGCTTCTCCACCTGGAGCACTTCCTTCTCGAATCTGCCTAGTCCTTTGGTCATGGCATTCTCTTCGCCCAGGAGCCTTCTGGCACTCTCCTTGAGCAACTGAATCGTTCCATGGGAGTCCCATGTCTGCCTGCCGTAGCTGCGCATCATGCAAACGCTTACCCAACTCCGCCAGTGACCTAATATTGTATTTATAGCCCTTCATAGTCACGGCTACTCACAGGGACGCGTGTTGTTTGGGAACCTGAGGTCACTTGGTGTGACTGATGAGCATTGATCTTCCATGATCGTATCACGATGCCATGGTTATCGCCAGTGCAACCAGGATCAGGCAGTGGATTATTCCTTGCAATAGACCCATGTGTTCTAGATCGCATCGCTAGGCGCACTCAGCTGCATCTTCCACATGTTTCCACGTGTCCCCGTATAGTTCGCCAAACATCTGGTCTAAGCCACTCAGGGCCACCTGCGCTCTTCGTGCTCTCATCCAGGCCTCCGTCAAGTCCTTCTGAAGCCGTTCCCTTTCGCCTTCTTCGTACTTCAAATGCTGCAGCAGTATATGGATATCCTCCCGCAAGATCCATCCCGACGGGTCTTCATCAAAATCTGCGACTGCTGATTTGGCTGTATTGATAGCTCCGTGAACGATTTGAAGCATTTCTGCGTCCAGCCTCCTATTAATTCTGGTCTTTTCGAGAGTTCCGTATTCGCACAATATCGCGTAAATACCAGCGTATTTTTCCTGGGGGTGTGGGCTGGTGTTTATGCGAATAATATGCTCGAGATGTTCGCCAACACTCTGATGCGTGAAGGTTTGATCTAGCTTCTTGATGAGGCTTGTGGCATTTGTCTGTTGAACAAGCTCGACTGATGGCACGATCAGTACTACACAATTTTATTGTGGTATTAGACGTACTGCTGGTAACCGGCTTGACAGCGACTTCACTCGGCAATTTTGACACTCTCTTCATCTCCTCTTTGATAGTCTTGAGCTTGGTGGCTATCTTTTCCTGGGAGTTACCGGACTTTTTAACGACTTCATTGAGCATTTCGAACGTGAAGAATGCATCGTAGGTAGCGTAGTTTCTGTTCGTCATCGTGATCAAGTACTTAGGTTTTGAACAGTACGTGAAGGATCTACAAAGTTCCTGCGGTGGTTTTATAGGAGACTATGACTGTACCGTGCTGTCCTGTGCGCAAACAGTCACAGCCAAGCTGTGACCCCGGGGACGTGACGAGCCGGCATTGAGTCAAAGCGCATCACGACCAACGTCAAAATGACCCGACAAAGAACAGAAGCATGGACACCGTCCCTTACAGAATCCTCGCGTACACCGCCTTCAACAAAAAGCAAACACGTCGCTGTTGTTGTTGTGAAGTCTTATCTACTGTTGAGGCGCCGTCGTCCCGAGACGATGCATGTCTCTACAAAACCACGGCTTGCGCGTCCACCCGAAATAGAGCATCAGGGTCATCTCCGCCGTCATGTCAACAACACACCCAACACCTCGGGCAACACTTCTCTCTACCACCTTCTGGGAAATCCTTCCCTCACACTACGACAAGATCATAAACCGCTGGTCAAAAATCGCACACCTACATCACGAAGCAAAGTCCGACATTCTCGCCACCGACCGCGCTGGTGCCGTGGCCTCTATCAAAGCCGAACTGGAGATGCTGGAGCAGGATGTGGAACAGTATCGGAAGCTGGTGAACAGCATCGATATCACGGATATCGCAGGCACTTATGTTGTGGGTGGGAAGTCGCCGCATCGCGCATTGGAAATCGCCAAGGAAGACAAGGAGGATCTAGAAGAGAGTTTGGAAATGATCGAGGAGAAGGTGAAAGAGGTTAGAGCTGATGTGAGGTACGGGTTCGAAGAGGAAGAGTTCGACTGGTCGATGTGTCCCTAGAGGCTGCATTCCACTCCAGATGTCGAGATTTGAGCTGTAAACCAAGTTCGAGACAATGTGAAACTGACAATATGGAATGTCAGTGGGCTAGCTGTTGAGTAATGAACAGAGTACGACTAGACTTGATTGTCATCCTACAATGATACCCCGGGACTCACATATTCGAATGTGTGTTTATCCACCCATGATGTCTAAACCAGCTTCTTCCTTCACGCCCTGGTTTACAAAAGCAGGTCAGCAAGAAAAGATATGCGAAACTTGTTCAAAACCACAGCGGCAAAAGTCAGCACAGTGAGCGACGCCCATAACCCTCAAGACCCCCAGCCGAGAGACCTAACATCCATATTAATGGACCTCGAGGATCGAGCCGACCGGGTACTGACAAGTCTTTACTTGCTCAAGCAGCTAGACGACGATTTTCCAGCTATCGAGACAGCCATAGAGCAGCAAGACTGTGTTGATATCATTCGCTCGCATACCGAGAAAATGGAGGCCAACTTAGAGGTCATGGAGCGGAAGAGCGAGTTGCTAGACGATGAACGAGTCTGTGATTGGATGAACAACGGCAGAGATGACACAGAGAAAGAGAACAGGAACGAGTTTCTCAATCGATTAATCAAGAAGATGAGGGGTTTGCAGACACAGATGGCGGAAGCGAGGAGGGGTTTTGTCGGATAGGGGCATCGCAAAAGATGCGCAGGTGCGAGGATGCCGTGTTGTCGTCAAGGAAACAGCAGCTTTGCTAGATGCTATGTGCAGACTTCTTGCTTCTTCACTTCCTTGCTGGAAGCCTTCAATGAGTGCCGCTGAGTGTGCTACTCGAATGAGCATGCCCACTCGACAGGCTCTGGCAGTGGTGCTGTGTTGGGAATGTTGCCGCTCTCTCGGAACTCAACAATCTTCCTTTCTCCGTCCTCCTCTTTGACTACCGCGAATGCTGCGTTTGTGAAGTACAAGTCGCGTTTGACGCGGGTCTGGAAACCACCGGCCCATCCGATCATGTACACGAAGCCACCTTTATCGCCATTTATGTTGGGCACACCAAGGGTGTTGATGGGGCCATGCTTGAAAGGCGCAAACGCCATGCCCAGGGTCGCGTTGAAGATTGTATAGAGTCGCCTTGAGCCATCGAAGTCGTAATGCGTGTCGTTGAAGGTGAACTTGATGTCTTTCGAGAATGATTTCGCATGGCCGTTTGGCCAATTCGTGTTCGCAGGGTATGGATAGAACCCTGTTCTTGTATCAGTATGATGAGGCCTCAAGCATATTGTCTTTTGTACGTACCATTGACCGCGCATTCTAACCAACTGCTAAGCTGAACGCTCGCATTTGCTTTTGGGGAGTCGGCCAACGAGCAAGGATCGATTGCTTCATTCAAGAATTTGGGCGTGTTCGAGTCTAGTACTTCTTGGGGCGAGATATCGAATGCTGCGATAGATGCGATCAGACCGCATGCGGTGGCTTCAACTACGTCAGTTGTGATCAGAACTGTGAAAACAGGCCTCTTACCAAGAAACGGGACGTAGCGCATGATATTAGTTGTTCTGGCCAGAAAGATAGAAAGTTGAGGAGTATTGATCTGTCGTGCGCCATACTTATAAGCAGACGGTGACCTCGTTGCCTGCAGTCAAGGCTGACGAGGCTGACGGGCTGAAAGCGCAATGGGTGTAACGTTAACACAAGACAGGCAAGTGACCGGGGCGATGGCCGGCTTAGAGCTGAGTGGCTCCTCACTTGTTTGCCACATAGCGACCAGTCAAACGAGAGAGCCTGGTATCATGGACTTGATGAGGAGGATGGAGGTCGAAGGTATTAATTGGTGCTGTCAGCTACGAAGCTATCGGAAGCTGCCTTCCGTGTCGATGCGTCCCGCGTCATTTTCGCGCCATCGCGGCCAGAGCTCCAGGCCGTCATCCTACGCAGCGCGTCCAAAGAAAGAGCTCTTCCCAAATAGCCCACCCACTCCTCTTGGCTTCTTGCCCATCTCAATAGTAGCCCTCTTATTGACGACCGCGAAACCACCTGTCCTTATGGCTTTCGCATTTGGATCAGTCTTGAATGCGCCACTTGGGGGCGCAGCGCCTATGGGCGTGGGCGGCGTGTTGGACATCTCAACAGCCTCTCTCTCCGCCCCGGACATCTCGGCGATCTGAGACGTTTGCGGCATCTGCGCAGGCATCCACTCTACTCTTATCGACTCATCGCGACTAAGCTTCTGGTCGTCAAACCACAGCTCGAAGCGGATATCTGCGGGTCCGATCAAGACGCGTACCGAGTACTCGATGCGCAGATAGTGCTTCTGCAACGACCAGAAGTGCTTGTTCTTCTCTTGGAACTTCTTCTCATCCGCTGCAGAGAGGTCTGAATTTATTTCGCAAAGGATGCGCGTGTCTGTGAGCTGTCAGAAAGCTGGACGAATGAGGCGGCCGAGCTTCGGTACACATACATTGGTTCATTTGGTCTGGCAATATCGCCGCATCCAAGTCACTCTCGATGACAGTCGTCGGAAATGCCCTTCTTGGATCGCCCGGGTCGACTTTCTTGATGAAGTTGTGCTCGATCGGTTTGTCCACGCTTACTGGCGCGCCCTTCTTGACGAACCACGCTATCGACTGCGTGATGTACAGCTTGTTGTTTAGTGGATCCCGAACAAGCTCTTTCCCTTGATGCTCGGGGTTCTTCTTGTCATACGCGATCTTGCACACCGTACCATACGACGCTCGACAACAACGCCAGCCGAGGACCGATCGTGATGTCAGGATCTTTCGCATACGATCGCTGACGAGACCCTTGCACACAGCGAGTTGAGGGTCAGGCGCTATGCTCACGGAGATGGACTCGGCGTTCGGGAAAGAGGTGCGCGCATAGTACTTTCGCAGCTGTGATTGCACATATGCGCTATTGCCTAATCCACCACTGAGAACAAGATGTGCTACATGCTCTCTCGGAAACTTCTGAAAAAGCGACTGCAGCTGCGTATCAATGAGCTTGAACAGCTTTGCAATCTGCTTATCGAATAGGCGCTGCAAGTCTTGCCGTTCAAAGGTCATCTCGCCGTTGCGAATTCGAACTTCCGGATCAGAGTTGCTGTACGTTTGCGGAACGCGCGGTATTCCTATACTGAACAATGGTGTGTCGTCTGGGGCGCCATACTCACACTTCACGGCTTGGAAGTCTCGACTTTTCATCATCTCCCATCCGGCATCCGCGGGGTCGACCGGTAGAGGATTTGTACTGTGTGCGAGCGTCAACCGATGCATCACCAGCCTCTCGAACTCATAATCGATAGCAGCGGATCCTATGGTCTCGCCAAACACAACGTCCATCTGCTGAAGATCGATAGCCTGGTTGACAGTGCCAGTGACTTTCAGCACGCTAAGATCGGTTGTCCCACCTCCGGCGTCACAGACTAGCAAGACATCGTTCTCGCGAAAAATGCCTGGTGCTTCAGTGGATACATGTACCGCGGCGGCTTCGGCTTCCGTAAGACCTATCGCCACTTCGTGGTGCGGATGCGTCCCATAGCCCGCCTCTTTCACCAGTCGTTTGAAGTTCTCCACTGTTGGTATCGGAGCCCATGTGGTCGGCACGCTGAAGATGAACTCGATTCTAGCCTCTTCCCAGCCGATGCCAGAAAGCTCCCCGCCAAGCTTGAACGACAAGTACTCGTACATCTTCCGCAGATAGTCGCCATACCACTTCTCAACCTCCTGTAGGTTCTCAGGTGCGCCTTCAGGATCCTCCATCTGCTTCCGGCGGAGCTTCTCTGGGTCGAGGCATGTCTTGAACCACTCCTTGTACTCCTTGTCATCGGCCGCGGTCTCTGCAGCGGTCTCCGAAAGAAAGCCCCATGATGACGGATCTTTGGAGCCAATTAGGTAGACGACCACCGTTGGGACTTTGTTCTCGTTCGCCTGGAATCGTCCAGGCCACTTCTGCACCCAGCGGACAGTTTCGCTGCCTATGGAGAGGTTCACATATGCCACGCCGGTACCTGGAGAGATGTATCAGCCTTGGACGGGTGTGATAAGGAGCACGTGATCCAACACATCACACTAATCCGAATCGGGACTCGCCTCCCCACGTGTCATTCCTCAGCCTCGCCAGAACTTACAGGTCATTCCAAGGTCTACACCAACGATCATATGCGGTCGCTCGTTTCGCTCCATCTTGTCTCGTTGTCGGTGACGCGGTCTTTGTTGTTGCCTTCCCGCCTGATCACGTATCTATAAGATGCAGAGACGATGCATGTGCCTTGAGGCGGCCCCTATGTCTCAGCCTTGCGGCACAGCATCTTTTCGACCGATCACAACACGCGCCATTTCGGCCCCCATGCATATTGGACCCAAGAATACGCACCTTATGCATGCCGAGTGCGCCTTGGGGGCCGCAACGAGGCACTTCAGGGAGACTGCACAAGGCCGAATGGTTGGCTAAACTATCCACCTTTCGGCCTCAATCCGTTTCGCTTGCAATTTTTGGGAGGAAACTGTGATAAGTCTAACCTTTTTGCCAGCGCCAAACGGGGAGGTACCCCTCTTTAGTGGCTGCGACATAGGCCGTGGTACAGCACAGCCGGTAATCGCTAAAACTCTCTACGATCTCTACACGGCAAGCTAAATTCCCTCAAGTTGCTCAATTACCCGAGATTTGACTGGGACGTATTCCACTTTCTTGTCGACTATTCTCGTGCTGCATCTTCACATTGTCACATTGTCCGAGAAACCCCATTGATAAGAGGCGGTTGATCTTACCTACGGAGCAAAATAACTCATCTTCAAGATGGGAGATGGAAATCAACAACCCCCCTCCGTCGACTGGGCCAGTGCGGATATCACAAGTAACCCTGCTATGCAGTATCCCCTCGTGCTGTCATTAGCGGAGAAGCCGGTCGCGACAGTACAGGTCCTCCTCCCCATCACCGACCCCGGCAGAGGAATTGTCTATACAGTGACCTCGGGTTTTCCACAGGGGGCACCGCAAACATTAACGCTTGTTGGTGCAGCAGCCACAACTGCAACGTTCGACGGACACGTTTTGTCCGTGGACTTAAAGCCATCGCCACCACATCTTCTGTTCCAGACGGCACCGGCGTCTAGTTCGATTCTTCCATCAACATCACTTCCGGCCACAAGTGCAGCTGCTCTGCCAACTACAGCAGCAACGCCTGCTTCAACTAGCTCTCAAGCGACTAAGACTGGACCGTCAGAATCCATTTCTCCAGCCACGAGTGTCCCAATCTTACCCCAGAGTGAAGGCTCCGACCTTTCAACAGGTGCCATCGCCGGTATCGCGATTGGATGCTTTGCCGCAGGTGCACTGCTGGCTGGAGCCATTCTGTGGTTTTGCCGGCGCCGAAGAAGACAGCCCAAGAATCAATATCCCCAGCCGGACACATATGCGTTGGCTTCGCAGGAAAAAGGGTTCTCCGCCAGTGCTATACCGTTAGCCGGAAAACGATCATCTGTAGCTGCTCTGGGTGGTGGACTTCCTCAGCCCTTGGAAGACAAAGCCATCTCCGGCGATGTCTCGAAGATAAGCAATGCCATCAAAAACCATGTCCAGAGTTACTACCACACCAGCCGTGTCAACCCTGGTCTCATCGACTATGAAGACCTTCACGCACTAGGACCAGGTCTACCAGTCTCGGTAGGAACGCTCACTACATTGATCGGAAATGCTGCAACTCGAGAGATTGCGCTAAGGTTCATTATCGCCTGGGTGATCGTCTCGAAACTTCAACCCTCCAAAGATCCCTCAAAGAGTCTCTTGCCGTCCGAAGTTGCGCAATGTTACCAAGCTGTCGCAACTGGAGATCGTGGCTATCAAGGTATGCGGCACGAGTTCCTTCGTCTCCTAGTATAGAAGCACTGACTTTTGTACAGCTCAAATATCATTGATGGCGCGCTGGCGGGTCATGACTGCAGAGTTGATGCAGGCTAGCTACATTCGCAATCCCTTCGGTCCTTCCGACAGTCGACATGCAAGTATACAGGCAACGCTTGCAACACTAGACAACGTTCTACAGCCATACGCGGACTCTCGCATGAACAATGGAGAGCGCAAGCGGAATCTTGAGGAAGTACTGAAGCGGGCTGCGCTTTTCGCTTTCACGCTGTTTTCCCAGCCTAGCGCATGGGAATTCGAGTGGCAGGAGGAACAAGGTGTCACGTCAGGGGACTTGTGCATTTTCCCCGCTCTTGTGCAAGTAGCGGACGAGGCTGGTAATCCAGTCAGTCCGCCGCGGCCTTTCAGCGAGGCTGTGGTGAGACGGTTGGATGCATGAGTCGGTGGCTCATGCAAGGAGACCCTCGCGTACGACTGTGCTCACAGGTAGAACCTGTGCCACCTTCAAGAAGTTCCATGTTGCGAAGGCCTCTAGGTCTCCCACCGTCATAGTGATGACCACATTGCTATCGAATGAAATTAAGCTTAAAATGGTGCTTACATCTTCATACCCTCGCCGAACAGGGGAAGGCGATACGCTACGACGCTTGCACTTGCGATGAAGAGAGTCATCCATCATGTTCGAGATGCGAAGGCTTACGCGCAACGGCCAATCGGCTAGACCAACTCCTAGCCTGATCTCGCTTCCCTCTTCCGAACCCGCATCTTGCGCATGGGGGCCAATATGGAATGTGTTTTGGCCCCCATTGAGGCGTAGTCCATGCAATCAGCATCCTTGCGGCGTAGCCCAATAGCGAGGTTTGGATCGAAGACCAGTGCCTTATAAGTAATTTATGCCAAATCCGGCGAGACGTCCCATGCACATTGGCATGATTATGCTGTGCGGCGTGAGACGACAACGCTGCATGACTCTGTGGTACGATGCCCGCGGCTGAGTTGTTGTTCTGCGCCCCCAACCAACACTTTACCGCTACATCGGTGCCGTGATCGACTGATAGCTATCCCATGTGTAGCTGTTAGCAAATACTTCCATCGGACAGGCCGACACACGAAACTGGAACACCAGCACATCCGCACCGGCTGTGCCTATTTCGAGCAAGTGCTGCGTCATTCTCTGCGGGGTTTGTCCTGGTGTACCTGGCGCATGTCGCCTGCTACCATTGCTCAACCCATGCGCGCTACCAGCTACTTTCAGACTCTGTACAGCAATAGTACAATCAGCTTGAAGTAATACGAACGACGCTCATGCCAACGTTGACTTCGATGTTGCCCGCTGCTGGCTTGTTCTTACCGGAAACACTGCATCGGGCTGACCTCCCCACGCAAGCGCCTACGGAGACCGAAGGAACGAAGCTGAAGTACTTCCAACGCAAGATCGGGCGGCCGAAGCAGGAGCCTAGGAACTCTGAGGACCGGCGGCCGTCAACTGCTATTCCGAGGGAAACACCCGATGACATCTTATGCGACTTTCCAGCGATACCGACTACCTACTACTTTGCGGACTATGTCCTCACCACCGAGAAGGCTTCTGCGGATACCATCGCTTTCGTAAGCATCATCCAACAAGTGCGACAAGACATCGATGAGGCGACGCGCCTTTTCATCTCATCTGCGGTTTCGAATTTCCTGGATGCTTACCCAAATAAGCGGAGATGGATCGAGACTTCTTTGCTCGAGGTGCGGCGTGCTCTTAACGAAATCGGCATGGATATGGACAAAGCCTGGGGCCACGATGGAGATGGTGGCACAGCTGCATCGAAGCTCAAGCTTGAGTGGGGTCTAAGAAACCAGAAGAAACTTCTGAAAAAGAAGCAGCTATTAGATCAGTGCCACGCTCAGTTGACCGGTGCTATCTACGTCATGCAAACGGCAGAACTCTGTGGGAAGCCTGGTGCTATCGCAGAAACACCCATTTTCGAGGCTCCGGTACGACCTTGGGTACCTCATGATGAGAAAGACGCGCTACGTGGGCCTTATTCAAGGCAGAAATACCGAACGAATCAGGCGAATGTCTCCGCATCAAATATTACACTGGCGTCTGAAGCTGAAAAAGACGACGTCGAAAGTGAGTATCATCCACGATAGACAACAGTTGAGTCCAACTAACAACCTTTAGCCGGTAGTATCAATTCGGTGCCTGTAGAGCTGGCTGGTAGTACGCCGGCTGACTTGGACATCGAGGAGAGGCAAAACTCACAGAGCTTCCTGAGCCCTCAGGTGTCCCGCGAATTCAGTACTGAAAGCTCGACACTGTCCAGACGACCACGAGCACGCTCAGACTACTCCCGACAATCCGTCGTTCGGGAACCAAGACCTCGCGCCTCCATCGATGTCGTTCCTTCCTCCTCGAATAATGGCGATGCAACAATCGAGCGCACCGACTCCACTCTGTCCACACAAGCTACGGTCAGCGTCCCCATGGTAGCGAGACGGTATCGAGCAACGTCGATAGACATCCAAAGGCATAGTGAAAAGCACAGGTCTTTGCCATCGGAGCTTCCTCATCTCAAGAGTCAGCCGTCACTTATCGATGATTTGGCTGACTATGTGATGCCTAGTGCGGCAAGTGAGAGGCTGCCGAGTAGAGAGTGGCCAAATAGTCCAGTAATCTCTATTCCATCGATCTCGGTGACGTCGACCCCAACAACCGGTCATATGTTACCTGTGGTACCCGAGACTCCTATAACGAATGCAATGACAGACGGTCTATCAAACATCGCGACCAAAACTACTGCAGCTCAGCCGTCGCCCCGCCATCGTCCTACAAGTAGCGAAGGACTTGCGCAACCACAACATGAGAAGGGGGATGCGGATACGCCGTCGATGAATGAGGGCGACTCGAGCCTGCGACGAAATAGCTTTGCCTCTGTGGAGCGCACATCGTCGCCTATGTCTCACTATGCAACATCTATACACACTTTGCGATCGCCCAGTGCTCTTGTCAATGTTACCACTTTCACCGACGACGAGCCAGTTCGTCGCCCAAGTAGCCAGCGGCCGTCACAGCGCATGTCGAAAAGGCTGTCACAAACGTCAAGTAGCAGATCCTTTAACGCTACACCTTCACCCACAATTACCACAGTCGCTGAAACTACAACAACACCTGGTACGGAAGAGGAGGCGACTACCCTTCCGATAACTGCACCGTCTTATCCACCACCACCGCCGCCCCAGATCATCGCCCCGGCAAGTTCGCAACCCATAATTGCCAGCCCTACAGAGACGCCAGAAGAGCTAGACGATGACGACGTCGTACTCTCCGTCCTTCAGCAACGCCTTGCCAGCGCGACAGAGACGCCAACGGAGCTAGACGATGACGACGTCGTCCTCTCCGTCCTTCAGCAACGACTTCGTAGCCACAAAGTCATCAAGACGATGGCTGAAGACTTAGTGCGACAGGCTTCCACTACAGAAGCGGCGCAACCGATAACGGATACGCAACAAGCCATACTTTCACCACCCGTATTGCACGAGCAACCAACTCCCACACCGAAACAAGAGTTGCGCGTGGAGGTACCACCCACTACCTCATCAGTTCCAGTTCAGATAGAGATACCTCCTCCCGTTCCGTCTGTTCCAGTACAGGTAGAGAGTCTCCCAGCGCCTTCCAACGAAAGTCAGAACGGAGATGTGTCGAAGAAGCCCATGTCAGCGCAGGCTAAGCGAAGAGCTGCGCACGCACGAAGAATGCAACTAGCTTTTGGTGACGATACGGCGGCTTGAAATGGTGGTGTGTGAGATGGAGGTCGGCCAGCTGTGTCTATAACATAATGATAATATGTGAACCAATTTTATCTCGATCCCAAACCGCTTCTTCGCATCAGTACACTAAGCATTCTGAGGTCTAATGGCATATCTCAGGGTAGCATCATATTTTCATAGTCACTAGTTGACATCACAAATCAGACAGCAAGCAAAACAACAGAAATTAGACAGTAAGACGTGGAATTGAATCACATCTACCATCCCCTTTTCCCGGACCCTTTCAGCGCCCTCATCTCAGCCAGTCAGACACATCTACCCACAAGAAAAACTCGCCGTAAGACCTCTGAGCGGCCTTTTCCTATCGTAACCCCAATCATCTTATTGCAACCAAGATGCTACGGACAGGTACCAGGAGGTAGACCTGTTTATGCGGCGTAGGGAGCAGCGGTGACGGTAACGGCACGAGCGGTAACGGTGACGGTATCGATGCGATGGGTTACCTTAGGCTCGATAAACATGGTGGTTTCCATGGTGCCGAAGGTAACGCCTGCGAAGAGGGTCATGGTGGCGCCGAGGATAGTGGAGAATTGCATTGTGGTGGTCGGGTTGGGTTGCTGGGAAGGGAGTGTTAGGTGGAGTGGTGGAGTGGTAGAAAGGGAGGTAGTACGTTTTGTTGGTAGTGACTGGGGATGTGTTAGTTGATCTTTTTTGAAGTAATGAAGAGGATGTTAGAAGAGCAGAGATCGTACTTTGAGCTTCTTTTATCGAAGTCGAAGATGGTAGATTGCTGTCGAAGTTTTTGCGGATGAGTGACTCTAAGAGGGGATATGCCGTGTTTATACTCTCACCCTGCATTTCCTCATTCATCGGGACTGATCTCAAGTGTGTTCGTGTGTTTGTGTGTGGTTTGATATTTTGGTTGTCATCCACTCCATCCACTGGTACTACGATGTGACGCAATGTAGCCCCTCAAAATTTCCGCAACACTCAACCATCCCATACGAAAAGGTACCCCTCAAATGAGAGAGATCGCAGGCATCAGAGACTCTTCAAAATGGGGCAATGTTTGGTTCCGGCCTCGGAGAAGCGGAGAGGGTGATGAGGCAGGGTCCAACCCCAGTGAAGCACCTGAAGCTGGTACTCTCCGTTCCATGGCTCTATGATGCGACTGAGGGGAAGCCGATGACGGAGATGAGATAGACATTACAAATGAACAAGAGTGCCATACGTGTGGATGGTAGGTCGTGATACTCTATCGATCATGATCGCGTACTCTCATGGTACACATTCAAGTATTGTCTCCGACCTGATATACCAACTCAAGAATGATCGATCATAGTTTTCGCCGTTTTCAATTTTCTCCGCTACATTGCACTCTCAACAGTTCTGCACGGGCAATTTGGAAGAATCATGTTCGCGCAATTGGACCCTGAGCCACACTTCACCTTCGAATTCACCCCAAGGGTCTCTACCACTCTGCACATTTCGCTCCAATGCGTTCGGTGGCAGGTGATATTGTTTACGTTATCGGTAAACATACGCGGCATAATGTCACTGTGCCAACAAACCGACCGCTTCCCCACTGTACTTTGAGCAAAAGCATTGAGACACTGCAGCTGGAAAGGCTAGCTCGCGTGGTATCGCATCAACGGTGGGGAATCAACATATTGCATGGAGAGGGACAGCGCTGCTACCTCAGTCGTATTGATTGTTACCTCAGAGGGTGCACTATCGCATCAGCCAGGCGATCGAGTCTGCTACTAGAGAAAGAGAAGACGTATTGTTGATAATAATATGCACGAGGATGTGCAGAGAACGCTATAGCGGAAACAAACCACTCGACCCATGGGGTGGTCCAAAAACAGAATGAGGCCATCTTCAATTACTTCCGCTAGGACAGCGAGATCTTGTATTGAGATTGCGGGCCCAGCTGCCAAGGGGCTTGAACTCACCAGATTTCCTTCCTTGTAGAATTGCGGATATGTCGTGACGTGGCAGAAGAACATTTGTTGAATTTTAAGGAGTATGTGATCGGAACCGTGTGTCATGAATATATCGCGAACTGCCAATCATTGTATCACGATAGCGATGATCGGAACCAGATCTGATCTTGGAGGTACCGCCACCACAATTTATCGGCTGGTCATCGGTCTCATAAATTGTGAGTACGTTATGGGTATTGATTACAATTTCGTTCTGGTCAGAGTCGCAAAGTTAGCCAGATGACAGAAGCCTTGCGACAGAGGTAGGCTTACTGTTCGGCTAAAGAGCCCCTTCCTCCACTTCCAATTCGCCGCCGAAGCGGGCGTGTCCCTTGAATGAGAGTCTCTGTGACCTCAGTACGGTGAGCGTGAATCTCTGCTGTGCCTTATATTCAATCGCATGCAATGCATCTACGTTTCGCTCGAGAATCTACGCGAGGAGGTCCGCAACGTTCATGGGCATTTCGTCGATCTGGGTAGAGTAGTACACTATAAAGATTAGCGGATGTCTGAAGAAAAAGCTGAATGGTACTTACACTCAATGTCACGGAGGATGCGGACGTCATCTTGAGTGACAAAGTTGATGGCTACACCCTTGCGTCCGAATCGTCCACTTCGACCAATCCTGTGGATGTAGTTCTCACGGTTCGATGGCAGATCGTAGTTGATGACGAGCGACACTTGTTGCACGTCAATGCCACGCGCCCACACATCGGTCGAGATGAGCACGCGAGAGTTAGCCTGACGGAAGTCGGCCATAATGCTGTCTCGCTCCTTCTGCGGCATCTCTCCGTGCATAGAGGATACAGTGAAGTTGGCGTCGCGCATCTTGTCTGTCAACCAATCAACCTTGCGGCGCGTGTTGCAGAAGATAACTGCTTGTGTGATGGTGAGTGTGTCGTAGAGATCGCACAGGGTGTCGAATTTCCACTCTTCCTTCTCGATAGCGATGAAGTATTGCTTGAGGCCCTCTAGCGTCAATTCGTCGCGCTTAACCAGAATGCGCACGGGGTCCGTCATGAACTTAGTTGTCATCTCGAGCACATCGTATGGGAGGGTGGCTGAAACGACAACAACTTGGGTGGCAGGCGGGAGGTAGCGGTAGACATCGTAGATTTGCTCGCGGAAACCTCGGTTGAGGAGCTCGTCGGCTTCATCTAGAACGAGCATCTTGATGTTGCGTGTGCGGAGGTTGCGGCGGCGAATCATGTCGGCTACACGTCCTGGGGTTCCAGAGACAACGTGCTGACCATAGTCGAGCTTGCGGATGTCCTCGCCGACGTTTGTTCCTCCGACGCAAGGGTGGCATTGCACGTTCATGTAATCGCCGAGACCCATGATAACCTGCTGGATTTGGGTTGCAAGTTCGCGAGTGGGTGATAGTACGAGTGCTACCTCTGATTAGCATAGTCAACACTTCCAATCTGATATGACGTACCCTGTGTCTCGCGCACAGCCGTGTCGATGACCTGGAGGATGGAGATGGAGAAAGTCGCGGTCTTTCCTGTTCCGGACTGCGCCTGAGCGATGGTGTCGCGACCCTTGCAGATTTGGACAATAGCACGCGACTGCACAGCTGAGGGCGACTCGTATCCGTAGGCGTAGATACCGCGTAGCAAGTTCTCCTTCAGGTGCATGGCCTCGAAGGTAGGCGCGACCGTGACCTCCTTGGAGGTGGAGAACTCGATCTTGTCGTCCGCATTTCGGTCGATTCCGTCCGCCATCTTGAATGTGAAGCCGGGGTTGGTATTGGTGATTGGTAGGTTTCGAGTCGTTCGCGACGTGCAAGAAAGTTTGGAGCAGTTGCGCCTCAGCTTTGCGGAGGGCCGGAGCCTCGGCGCGCTAGCCCCGTTGACTAGCGCGTTCTGCGATTTATGTCGCCGCGACAGGCTCCACCACCAGCTCGACATCGTCACCGCCGCAAAGGTCTGCACATCCACTACCGAACCGCTGCTATACCAAGACTCATAGTTACTCTAGGCGACCGCAAGCATGCTTTTGGAAGATCAGCGCCAACTCCACGAGGACCTCGAGCGCCTCGAGGACGCCGCTGCCGAGCGACTCCTAGAAGACCCCCCGCATGTAGGCATTACCCTCGCGTCTGTCGCGAACTGCATGCTAACCTCTCATCAGATTCGCGATCGCCTTGCACGTGACCACGACATTGCGCGATTCCTGGAGCAGATCGAGAGCCAGTCGAGCCGCCTACTGAAGATCTACCAGGATGAGGACAGCAAGAAGGAGGACGAGGTGCGCGGTCTCACCCACGGCGACCCCATGGAGTCCTTCATGAAGGAGATCGCATCCATCAAGGACTTCCACAGCCGATACCCGAACGAGCCTGTCGAGAACCTGGAGAAGGCCTACAAGAAACGCTCACCCGAAGACCACACGGCATCCATCGCAGCCATCGACTCCATGTTCACCGGCGAGGAGGGTTTTGGTCGCTTCTTCGACCTGACGACTCTGCACGAGCAGTACCTCAACCTTCCCGTTCAGCAAAACGCGCGCCGTCTGACCTATCTGGAGTACCTCGACAAGTTCGATATCTTCACCCCTCCGCAATGCAACATCCGGCGCGAACAGAAGAAATCAGAGGCCTACTTTCATTACCTGAAAGCTCTACAAGATTACCTCGAGAGCTTCATGCGACGGACAAAGCCGCTAGAGAACCTGGATAAGCTCTTCACTAGCTTCGACAAAGAGTTCGAGGAGGCATGGGAGAAAGACGCAGTTCCAGGCTGGGAGAAAAAGTCCACGGCGTCTGCACCGGTCAACGGTGAGGCGCAGGGTGAGGGCATCTGGTGCTCAGCCTGCAAGAAAGGCTTCTCGAAAGAGACTGTTTACGAAGCACATTTGTCAGGCAAGAAACACAAGAAGGCGCTACAAGAGAGCCAGAACGGCGCGCAGGATGCTGAGAAGCAGTCGAACGGTGCTTCCTCAGACCTGCAACGCTTCAAGGAGCGAGCAGTCGCTGAGCGCGAGTTCAGGATACGGAAGCTCGCTGCAGCCATGCAGACGGAGCGCGGCGACACC